CGAGGGTAATTATCCAACTATGACAGACCTATATTGATATTCAGGTTTGTCTCTTGCCCTTGGCAATCCCCTCTGCAGTCCTCCTTGGAAACAGGCTACATCCTGAGAAGGACAGGCAGATAGAAATCTTACAAATTGGAAAAGAAAAAGATAAAGCTAGAAATAGACATACTTCTTGTCAAAATCATAATAATATGGCCTTTGCAACACCTTCTTACCCAAACAGTGTATCATTTTGAGATATATATATATATATATATATAAAACAAACATACATGTACACAGATGCAGTCAGGACTTCTCTAAAACAAACTTACTTATCCAAATAATTGAGACCAAAGAAAAATTCTTCATCCAAACCCATTACCAATTGTGCCTTTAAACGTTTTCCTTTTCTTTTTAACCTGAATATGTCACAAAAGCTAGAGAAAAACCCTTAACCATAATTTTCTTTTCTTCACTTGCAGAATAAATAGGGTTATGTTTCCTCCAACACTCAGGACAGAGTGTGGGTGTGAATTTATATAAGAGGGGGAGAGCTACATGGTGACCTATCTACTGTATCCACTCTGAAGTGCATCTTTCTAAATGCAGCAAATAACCTCGAGGACCACCCCCCACAGGTTTTAGTATAGCATAAGGTACTATGGCAAAAAGAAATATTATTAAACTGGCATTGCTAGGTCCCCATTTCCATGCAAGTAATAAAATAATAATTGTTTTATTTCTAATAACAGCCGATAACTTTAATCTGACAGTCCTCCCAGGACTAGAGGCTATTTAGTCACTCTTGCACTAGAAAACAAAATGGACTTTATGAACATCCTATGGTCAAAAGCTGGCTCTTTCCTCGCCACGTCCTCATCTATTAGGTTTCTGTTCATGTTGCATAGTCTCTACAGCAGAGCACGCTGCCTCTGCAAGAAACAAGTGGTGTCCTTCCCCTCCCTGCTGTTCAAGTACACAGGCGCGGCGGGACCCATGACAACTGCAGCCCCTCATCTCTTGTGATGGGTGGGAGCACGGGGTGACAGTCACCTCGCTACCGCCCTCAGTGCACAGCTCGTTGCAGCACAACAAGGGAGAGAAGGCAGAATTCACAGCCTTCATTCATCTCGTACCAGCTCACAGGGCCATGGGAACACTTGAAACGTACCAAGCAGAGTCTTAAAAGGGATGTGACAATTGAGAATCGCAAATATGAGACTGCTAGGTATACTGGAATACTAGAAAATTATTTCCTGATCTGAAATTCTTGACCTAGAAAAAAATTCTTCTAACACCTTTACTTTGGGCTGTGCACAAGTTCTACACGAGAAACAACATACAGAATTAGTCTAAAACCATTTTGGATACCCTATTGTGATTGCAAGTATTGAAAAAGATAACTGGGAAATAAAGGATCAAAGCATTAATAACATTTCATCTAATTACATTAAACAGCTTCAAGTAAAAAATATACAAGATTTCTCTTTCTCACATCACAAAGATATTAAAACTGATTTGCTATATACGCTCAATGAAAAGGAGGAACGGTTTCACCCAAGACAACGAAGCAATACCAACACCAGTTCAGCTAAGAAAAGACAGCTAAGTTCATTCTTGTAATGGTCCAGAATATTGTCTGCAAAACATTTTGAGACAAAGCTATCTTATGTAAGTATATAGAAAAGTACACAGTCTTAAAAATTGTGAAAATCAAAATTGTTAAAAACAAAAAAGTAAACCCAAGCTTTTAGTTGCCATTTTTTTTTAAGCCATCAATACCTTGTTTCTTTTGGGAAAGAAACAAAAGACCCAAAACCTTAGAAAAAGTATTTTTCATGAATGGTTTTAAAGTTTCTAAGGAAAATCTTTCTTTTAGTTCTATAGAACAATTCTTTTGCGAGCTCTACTTACTGTTTACCAACATTTTCAAAACCAGAAATTATTACGGATTGTTAAGCATTCAGCATGAAAATGACTTGTCAAAAGTAGCAGTAAGAAGTCAGAATTATTGAAAACATTGAACTTGATATTTATTTCATAATTTATTCTGAAAAACAATAACCATGATGATTTCGGAGTCTTAAATTGAAAACTATACCAAAACCTTTGTTGTGCTCTTATTGCTCTCACTCCATTAATGCGAACATGTGTCAAGTAGTTGGTTTAGGTTTCCCTTTACCGTAAACAAAAAGTTTCACCATTTTAAGGAACCAAGTATCTGTTGTTTCCTTGAACAATAACAAAAACTCCAGACTTGCTCCCAGCCGTAGCGCCAAAGCTTGAATTGCTCTCACACGGAAAACACAACCAGACACAAAACAAAGCGGTAAATATAATAACCAGCACAAAAAGGCAGAATCTGTAACTCATGTAGTTATGTATGGCAAAATGTTTCTCTACAGTTCATAAGAGAATATCTGGTCTGTGTTACAGATCTAACAATGAAATACGTACGTTTAGTTTCTGCCAAAAAAAAAAAAAAACAAAAACAAAAACCAAAAACCAAACCATGCAAAAATAATATCTTTAACAAAATTCTCTACCTGGTCTCACGTTTCATAAAAATTGCCATGCTGGTGCTCTTACTGTGATCTTACTTCAAGAACACATACTTCTGCTACGTACCAGATGTAGCTAGTTAATTCTATTTCTTTTAGCAGCTATCACCGCCTTTTCTTTTTCTTCCTTTGCTTTTTAAGTAGAAAAATAACATGGCAGCCACAAGAGGCAGTATTATTCCTTAAATGGAGAGCAAGCTAAGGAGCCAGGAAAAGACCAGATCTTTTCCACCAAGTGGAAGATGTTCTAACTTCTACAACGAAGGATGAAATCAGCATCTTGTCCATTAGGAGAGCGGCTCAAAACCATGAAGTACCTGGTAAGTGAACACTTTCACCCCCCCTTTTCTGAGGTGAATCACCATCTGGCACAGACTCCAAGAGTCCGGGGATCATCCAGACAGGAGGCATTTGAAGCCTGACTCCAGAATAGTGGTGAGAGCACTGATCTCGTCTGTCTCAGTCGCAAGGAGAATGGTTTCTACCTAAGAACTTGTTGTGGTTAACCCCAGCCAGCAGCTGAGCACCACGCAGCCGCTCGCTCACTCGCTCCCCCCCCGGTGGGAGGGGGGAGAGAATCGAAAGGGCAAAAGTAAGAAAACTTGGGGGTTGAGATAAGAAGTTTAATGATTGACACAAAATAAAATATTATAGTAATAATAATAAATAACTGTAATGAAAAGGAAAACAACAAAAGAGAGAGAGAAACAAAACCCAGGAAAAACAAGTGATGCAACTGCTCACCACCCACTGACCGATGCCCAGCCCGTCCCCGAGCAGCGATCGCTGCCCCGGCCAACTCCCCCAGTTTCTATACTGGGTGTGATGCCATACGGTATGGAATAGCCCTTGGGCCAGCCTGGGCCAGCTGGCCTGGCTGTGCCCCCTCCCAGCTCCCTGTGCACCGGGCAGAGCAGGGGAAGCTGAGGAGTCCTTGACTGGTGTAAGCACTGCTTAGCAGCAACTGAAACATCAGTGTGTTATCACATTATTCTCATCCTAAATCCCAACCACAGCATTGTACCAGCCACTAGGAGGAAAATGAACTCTATCCCAGCCGAAACCAGGACGGAGCTAGAAGCCACCCGTCCTGAGAAAGGCGCTTGCTGGCACAAGTGACTGGCTAAACTTTATCACCCTGGAGATTTTCAGGTTTGGGTGTGAAAATTGAAGTCAAATGCCAGAAGTGTTAAGCCTGAAGCCGTAGGACATCTTAGGACTTAGTTTTGGATGTCTGGCTTTCGCTTTAGGTAGCCATGCTCTAAACAGAAGCCTCTAAAGAGAAACATATTAATACATCTCAAGATCAGTTAGATTAATGAGACAGCTGAGCAAATATAACTAGTTCATGGTAGGGATTTCCAGAAACACCTGCATGTTAAAGTGCAACAACAAAACTAAAGACATCCAGATCAGTGACTTGTAACAGATGATCTTAATTAGATATAAACTTCATGGTCCATGTTTGTTCAAGTGACAGAACTAAATATATGACTGTGCTGCTTTCCTTTACAGCTGGGTAGAAAATAACCAAGTTAAAAGTGCATGCTTCTTGAGATGATAGTTATAGGCAGACAACAGAAAAATCTCACTGAAAATGAAAGAAATACACTAATAAAAGTTTTAAGAATCGGCCTTCCCAAAATTATTATTGTATATTATTCTCAATAGGAAAATATGAGACATTCTAGATTCAAGTTCTGCAGCATTTTCTTTTTTTAACCCAATCAACACTTGCTACTCACACCATATTAAGTCAGTCATCTTTTGCAGGAATATATTTAAATCACTTCATCGGTAATTAGTTTTTCTATAAACACTGCTAAACAGACGTTTTCCCCCAGTTTTCAGAACTTCTCAAGAGTGAAGTTCTGTCGATTCCTCCAGTCACCACTCTCCATACAGTCATACATAACAACACCACCAGGCTGAAAAACATTTCAAGTCGTACCTCATCTTAGTGAAAAGCAGAAAACCTATTCATCTGGGTAGCATACAAACCAATCTAATAGTCAATCAAAAATATTGATAAAATACATAATTTAATTAAACTATCAATTTAGCTGCCATATATATTTTCCCTTTTTTCCTCTAATCCTTGTTTTGTATTTCTTATTTCAATTCCTTTGAGGAAGAAGTTCTAAAACTGGCTTTTAATCCAGAATGAGTTTTTAAAATAATATTTACAGCCTTATCTGTTCTTAATACAAGTGCCTGAACTGTACTAAAAATGGCAGTTTATTGCCAAAATTTATATTAAAAAAAATAAAAAAAAAAATTTATCCATTCTTAGAATACTTAAGTTAAAATTGTTTCTGGAATATCATCAGTTATATAGAATACAGGAATAAAAAGAATAGCATTAAAAAAAGGCAAAGAATGGGTTTTAATTTGAAGCCACGATTAAAAGACTAAAAATAAGAGACAGAAGTGTTAGAAATAGTTCATACTGACCTGAGTCCATAAAGGACTGTCCCATCTGGATGCAAACGGATCATTCTGTTCTTCACAGTGACACCATGTACAAATGACTTCTTGTCATTCAGAAAATAGGTATCGGGAACCCACAGCTGATCAGCTACTCTGTTGTCCAGAGTAAGGTTTAGAGGTATTACGTTATACGACAGCCGCTTATCCCTCCACGCTTGCTGAAAGTACATTGTCAAGGTATAGTCCTGTGATTATAAAAACAAAAAAGGTTTGCATTGAAACAGACAGCATACATATGCAAAAAAAAAAAAAAAAAAAGGCAAATACATATTTATTCATCGTGACCGTTGTTAAAGGCAAACATGTCTGTTCAGAATTTCCATAAGTAGATTTATTTATTTTTACAGTACTGAACATCTTGTGTATACTTAATAACAGAAATGAGAACACCAAAAGATGGGGTATTTACATTTTATGAATGACTTGGGAGTTCTCATTTCAATATTTAAAAACAAAATGGAAAAAAAAAAATCTGTAGACGCTTAACAATCTGCAATTTCTGTAGCACTTTACGAGCCTGGGAGTTCTGGGAACAGGAACATTCACAGATCTGAATTTCATCTCATGGTCTCCACTGTATGCAGCAGAGCTCTGGATCAGGCCTTGCATCTCTGAAGTGGCAGCTACCACCCAAACACTCCTCTAAATTAAAATCTCTTCAAAGTCTGTTAACTTTCCCCTGGGCATCGAAATCAGTAGGAAGTCTCTGAGGTTTCTATGCTACAGAGTCCTAGTCATCTACTTAATTTTACAGATGAAGTAACTCTGGTTACCTCAATGGAACAATTCAGAGAGCACAATTAAGCATCTAGGTAAATATCTGCAGTATTATGAGACTTGCTTTGTCTTGATGCAGGCCACTAACGTACAGTACTCTGGAGAAGTTTTGATCTTTTGATGTTTTAGAGAACAACGTAATTACAAAAATTATGTTTTTGCAAGACCTGTTATACAGAGGCAGAATATTCATTATACACTAGCCTATACTAAAAAACCTCCATAAATAATACACAAAGGAACTGTATATCTGATCACGGATCACTGGGTCAAGGGCTGTAAAACAATACTGAAGGAATACCAAAAGGAGGGATATTTTAAACCCAATATTGTGTTTCGCTTGTTCTACAGAAGTCGTAATCACTCGGACTATTTTGGTTTAGAATTCGTATTTAACATGGACTTCATTAAATAGTGAGAACTGCTAGCTTACAAAAGATTGCTTTCAACAGAAAGTCAACAAAAGCTGCTGTGACTATCAGCAACCCCAGGGTTCAGCCATGTCGGAGTATGGAAGTCTGTATCGACGCATCAGTCTGAGGCACTTGAAAACAAGAAATCCCACCTAACTTACAACAAATAATCAGCTGTGGTGACTACATCTCACAAACTAATTCCTAGCACTGCGTAACAGAGAAAAGCATGCAAGATATTAACATTTTATTGCATAAATTGAAATATTAGTTCTCATTAGCTACTTCATATTTTAAAGGAGAGACCACTATTGAAACTATGTTTTTGTTACAGCTGGGAAAAAAACATTAATCTTCC